TCTTTCTTTCTTTCTCTTTTTTCCTTGTCTCTCTCTCTGTTTCCTCTTTCTCTCTTCTCTCTCCTTTCTTTTCTCTTTTCTTTTTTGTCTCTTCTCTCCTTGTTCTCTTCTCTTTCTTCTTTTCTTCCTTCCTCTCCTCTCTCTCTTCTCTTTTCTCCTTCTTTCTTTCTCTTTCCTTCTCTTCATCTTTTGTTCTTTCTCTCTTTTCCTTCTCTCTCATCTTCTTCTTCTCTCTGCGTGTCTTTCTTTGTTCACATCTCTCTCTTCTTTCGGTCTCTCTCTCTCTTTGCTGCCTCTTGTCTCTTCTCCTTCTCTCTGCTGCTTTCCTCTGTCTCTTTTCTCTTCTTTTCTCTTTCGTTTTCTCTTCTCTGTTTTTCTCTCTGTCTTGTCTTCTCTCTGTCTCATCTTCTTCAACAAAAGAAGAAACTGAGGTTAGAAAAGTGAAAGACCCTAACAGGGTCTGATCCCTGGTAGGGGTCAGGGCTGGAGTTTATCCCAGACAGCCTTGCCGGATTTCTGTATCTTACCCATGCCAGACTATAACAATATCCAAAGGAATTGAAGACCCATTTCCTCAGGACAGCTGTGTTTGAGGCATAGTCTACAGGGCCGAGAAAAGGATGAGAATTCAAGAGATGTTGGTGTGTTGCATCTTTAACTTCACCACTTGATGACATGAGTAGTCGCATTGATGATCTGGAGAGAAACATCGCCGACCTCATGACACAGGCTGGAGTGGAGGAACTGGAAGGTGAAAACAAGGTACCGCCACACAGAAGAGTTGAAGGTGTGGGAGGAAGATTAGTTTTTTAAAAAGAGAGAGAGAGAGATAATCCGTGTGATTTTGATGCACTCACACTTTGTCTAGATCATTCCCGAGATGATCCCAGCAAGCGTCCCTTTTATTGTTCCCCCTGTAGACTCCCGTGTTTTGAAATTTGTCATGCCAGACTAATTTTCACATAGAATTTATTTTCATATGTTTGTTAATTAGCCCTCTGTCACTGTTAGTTGAGACCATTGATAACATTCACTAACCACTGAGTTTACATCACTCCAAATAATAAATGTGGTTTTTGGGCCTGAAAAGCTGTCACTGGAAGATTTTTCACTGGGTTTTTGTTTTGGGGGGTTTTTTTAGAAATAACAGCTAACTCAAGCCACACCTACATTACCACCTTCTTAAATGCCTTAAATTTTAGGGACTCTTTTATCAAACTTATGACATAAACTAGAATGTGACCACATTAAGTTTCTACTCTGGAGTTGATTTAAATGTCCACTGTATAGTTTCAGATATCAGAGTAAATAATAATTAAATAATTTTTAATAACAATTAAAAATACCTGAATAACAAGTTAAATGCACAATAATCAACCAACACAGTTTCTTCATTGTAAGCCTTTTCCTATATTAACATGTGTACACACTTGGTGATACCTCATTATAACCCAGAAATAATTTTTAAACTCACATTTCTTGCATCCCATTGTAGCATTCTAATTAACTATAAAAATAAAGTTTACTGAGAATTTTTTGATTACCAGAGCACCAAACAGAATATGTAGTAAAAGATAACCTAATTTCTGTTTTCTGGGCATGTCCTGGACCAAGTTTTAAGTAACTGTGAAATAGAGGTCTGGGAGGTTAAAGACTGTTAAATTTGCTGGTATCTTAACAGTAGAGTGGGTTGATTCCCTTTGTGAGTAAATCACATCACCACTTTGCTGTGGGTTGTGTGATCTTTATTATCTAGAGATAATTTGGAAAATATCCTGTCAGCCTTAGAAGCTTCCCTGGGTCTCTTTTTATTATTATGTGACAGTCAAAAACCCTGTCAGTCAAGTGAGAACATCTTCTCAAGAATTGCCCTGTTTAAAGACTGTGAGAAAAGAATGTGAGTAGGAAACAGATCAGAATTTTATAATGACTATTTCTATTTAAATCAGAATTTTTGCTAAATATGTGCAAAGGAAATAAGTTTAATTCAATAGAGGATGCTAAAAGGATTTTTAATGGTAGTCTCTGTGCCATTTTATTGTCCTTATCATGAAAAAACATGTTGATGATTTTTCTTCTTCAACAGGTTGATAGTAACTTACACTGAAATCTGCAACAGCATTTTTCCAAGCCAAGAGAAGACCGGAATGGCTTTCTGCAGCTAACTACTATGTGTAGACAGGTTTATATTATAATGTGTGTTCCTCTATTACTATATGGTTAGTTTATAGAGTGATTTATCCAGTTTCCGAACATGGTTCTTCACATCTGGACCTTGGTCAGTTGTGCTATTAATTATTAAACACTAAACTTTGGGTTCCTGCATAAAAAATGTCAATTTTTAGTGTATTTTTGTGAAGTCATTTTTTTCTCTCATTCCTTTTGTAGTATTGTTGTTTGATAAAAGTGCTGTGTAATTTTTATTAAACAGTAAATCCTCGGTTATAGTTGAACTAGTGGAGTAAGACATTTGTAGAGTTTAGGGTTCTTGATTCTCAGCACAGAGTGACTGTTTAGCTAACACCAGATAGTTTGTTGGCATACTTTTCAAATGGCTAAAAACATTTAAGAATTTTTTAATTCAGGAAATATCTGTTACTGCTCTCTTGCCAAAACTCAGAATTGAACTTTTGACTTATGTCTGAGTTCCTGAGATCAGATGCAAAAGTCAGTGAAAAGTAACCACTGCCACTTTCCTGTGTTAGAACTTACTTAAAATACAGAAATAACAAATAGCCTGATGGATGAGACGTTTGTTAAGTTTTGCATGAGATTTTAATACTTCAGTAGGGCCTGCATTATTCATCTCCAGTGGTTATCATAAAAAATCTGGCAGGATTTTAAAACTCAGTTACTCTATGTTTTGAACAAGAAAGAGAAAAGGAAAAGAGACCATTTCAAGCTTGTGCCAGTTGCTTAGCTAGAAAATGATAAATAACTTATACAATAGGCTCAAGTTTTAAGAAGCACTATTTTACTTAAACTATTTCTACCTAATTCTGTGCAGAGTTTATTATGGATTATAGAAGACAGGGATAAATACTCTTGCCACTCAGAAATGCAGTGTGCGGTGTGCCAAGCCAGAGGCCAGTATTGATCTGGATGAATCTGGCAATCCATATGATTGCCACACAAAAGTGTTGTGTTATACACAAAAACCTGAAAGATTGTAAAGGTTGAGGAATGGTATGGGTCCTTCCTAAAGGGAAACTCTTAATGAAAACAGTATGGTTTTTTAAGTTTCCCATATCACCCAGTCATGATTGTTTGTATGCAAATATATAAAGAATAATTTGTCCTTTATAAATTATATGAGGAAACACAAGGAGTAAGATCTTCGTTAAAAAAAAAATGAATTCAGCACTATTATTAACCACCTACAGAGCCTCCTTTATTGGTCCAGTCAGTTGTGCCGCAGGATTTAGCCCCTCAATGGCCCACCTTCAACTGGCCGTGACCAGACTAGCTAAAACCCGAAGGCAGACGTATTCTGAGCCTCGCGAGTGGCAAGTGGAAGTGGCATGGCTGGTTGCTGCTGTAGGAGAGTCAGGACTTGGGCAGGAGTTGTCCTCCTTATGTGATAGATTTCAAAGGCAGGCTCCCTGACCAAAAATATCTGCTGTGAATAAAGGTGCCTGAAATCCTGCTACTGAAGCTTCCTTTGTGTCAAAAGTTTGTTTGGTTTTTCCAGGTTTTCACATTAAAATGCACTGAAACCTCTGGAAGGATTAAATACAAGTAGCCAAAGGCAGGAAAGGGGGGGTCGGGGGGCGAGGCTGTGTGCTCGAAGGGACTGCTGAGGGACACGGAGCCTTGGGACAGACTGACTGAAGGAGCCTTTGCCCAATTTTGTTCCCCGAAGCACTGGTCCCAGGAGAAGCTCCAGGAAAGAAGGGTTTATGGTCACTTGGGTTTAGAAAACTTGCCTCAGTGCACCTTGCAAATGAGCACGTTCAAGGCTCTGAAAGTGCAGAGCAGGGGAAATCAGATTTGACCTCCTCACCTGCACATTTCCAAGTTATTCGGCCAAGGATCTTCTTTGTACTGAACACCTAATTAGCATTTCACTGAATCAGGGGAAAATAGATCTTAGGAGATGAGTTAAACTGACCCTACGAACAGCTTTGGGCTCCATGTGTAAACATGTATTTGTCAAGTACCTACTCACCGCCCCAAAGCCCCGGCCTTATATGAAATAGGTTTTATAGCCCTGGTGAGACCTTCACATCTGTGGGAAAAGATGGTTTCCTACTGTATACCTGTGTGGGTGAGAGTACCTGAGCCCACAGATGACCAGACACTCCACTGCCACCTCCCAGCCAGTCTCGGCCTTTCTGGCACTCCCAGAAACAGCTGCTTTCCCCTGCAGCCCAGGGTGGCATACACCCTCCTTTCCCTGTAGCCTCTGCTCAAGGAAACCCACTTCCGGCAGCTTTTCCTTGGCCTGGAAACAGCATGTATCTGTATGGCCCTTCCCTAGTTCTGGGCATACTCTGCACAGGAAAACCTCTCTGCCTCTTTTATTCTCTAACTGGTCAGTGTTCATTAACAGGCTAATGAAGATTCTATTGAGGGCTGATAGGTACAGAGGAGCTCGGAGGCTCTCGCACCAGGGAAGCGGCCTTCCCTGTGAGACGCACAGCTCCCAGGCCCAGGGGACCGTCCGCTTCCTCATTTGGCCCCTCAGTAATCCTTCCCTTCAAGCCACAGGATTTTAAGGTATTTTAATCTTATTTTCTTATCAATCTTGTTTCTCTTTTGTTTCATTGCTAGTGAGGAAAATTAAAAATATTTTACCCCAAAATACGGTATTTGGATGCACTGGATTGACTGTAGAAGCCTCAAGGTCTCTCTGACCTTCAAGTTAGTTTCTTTTTTTTTTTTTGAGACAGTCTCACTCTGTTGCCGGGGCTACAGTGCCTAGCTCACAGCAACCTCAAACTCCTGGGCTCAAGTGATCCCTTCCACCTCAGCCTCCAGGTAGCTGGGACTACAGACATGCACCACCATGCCAGGCTAATTTTTTCTATGTATTTTTAGTTGTCCAGCTAATTTCTTTCTATTTTTAGTAGATACTGGGTCTTGGTCTTGCTCAGGCTGGTTTCCAACTCCTGACCTTGAGCTATCCGCCCACCCGCCTCCCAGAGTGCTAGGATTGCCTGCCTCGGCCTCCCAGAGTGCTAGGATTACAGGCGTGAGCCACCGCACCCGGCCCAACTTAGTCTCTTTATCTTCCTCAGATCCAGACCCACCTAAAAGAACTGTCCTTTTCTCCCCCTCTGTGTAAGCCCAGGGATGTGACTCCACCTAGACTCTAGGAGGATGATGTCCCATCCTTCAGACTCATTCAAATTGCAAAGAGAACTGTTTACCGGTCCACTCTCCTCCCCAGCAATCCTTTCCTGCCCCTGAACGGACTCTTCCCTCCGCCCAGAACCCATTTTAACAGAAAGACAAATAAGCTTCTACATTTATTTGCCTTTCACTTATTTGCTTTCACTTATTTGCTATTACACTTATTTGTTGGGGAGTTGAATCTTCATTCCGAGGGTCCCCATATGTACACTTTAAATAAATTTGTATTTCTTCTCTCCTATTAATCTGCCCATGTCAGTGATTTTTCAGCAATCCTCGGGGACAAGAGCCTCTGCTCCCTACATGAGTAAAGCACCAGGGACATTTGACCTGTCAGGACAAATGCAGTTCAGGTAACTAAGGGTTAATTTGCCTCTGTGAGTCCTTGGAGCACTGTTGCTATGGGAACATAGAGTCCTCCAAACAATCAACTTAAAAATTGACGTTTTAAAATCCCGTTTGTAAGCTGAAGCCTTTTAAACATATTATGTTCTTTCATTTTGTATTCTGTAGTTTACATATTTTAATTAGATTAAAAAGGAGGAATTTGTACAATGTGTTGTCATATCTAACCCTGAAAATTAACTAGCAGCCGATTACTCATTCACTAGCACCTATTGAAAGCTGTGAACTAAAAGAAAATCTAGGGCCCCCAGGGGACTGAATGGACTCTGTCTTGGCCAGGAAGACCCAGAAACACCTTAAAGCTGAGTTGCTGGCCAGGAGGAGAAAGGTCAGACAGGCCTCGTCATGCCCCCGCTGGGAGCTACTCTTTGTAACAAGATACTAAATCATTAACAGGCCTAGGACGATGCAAAACAAAACTTAAACCACACCTGCAGACCATGTATTTATTTACTTTACAGGTTACTTGAGTTTCGGCAAATGTCCTGGTGGCTTTTCTCTGATTAACAGACATCCTTAACTTAAACATTCCAAGGCTTTGGACAAAGCTTCATTTCTTTAACCAATTACAAACCAAAGAATCTTTAAACCCACCTGTAACCCGTAACCAGCACCCCCCCTCCCCAGATGTCCTGCCTTTTTGGGCCAAACCAGTGTACGCCTTCCACGTATTGACGCTCTTACGTGCGATTCTCGTCTCCGTGAACGTATAACACCAAACTGTAACCTGTGCTCCGGCCCATCAGTCACACAACTCGCTGCTCAGAATAAGCCTGTTTTACAGAGTTGGGGTTTCTTGCCCCATTAACAAAGCATTTTGTTTGCACTATTTGGCTTAATCCTCATGACAACACTGAGTTGGGTTTCTATGTGATCGGTCCCATTTTATTTTATAGAGACAGGTCTCATTCTGTTGCCCTGGCTGGAACTCTGAGCTCAGACTCTGGAGTAGCTAGGATTACAGGTGCCAGCCACCATGCCCAGATAATTTTCTTATTTTTTGTAGAGATGGTGTTCTCACTGTGTTGCCCAGGCTGGGCTCAAACTCCTGGCGTCAGCCTCCCACAGTGCTGGGATTACAGGCGTGAGCCACCACACGGCTGAGTCCCATTTTAAAAAAAAGGAACCCAGGCTGGGTGTCAGTTGCCTGACATCACACAGCTGGTAGATGATGACCCTGGAATCTGCCCGTACAGCGTCCTTCCGTGGCTGTGCTATTGCCTCTTCCTGTGAACTGAAAGTTCCAGATCCTCTGTCCAGGCTGTCTGGGAGTCATGAACCCCGCTATCTTGGGGGATCTTGAAATTTAGATTCAAAAGGTTGATTTCACATTTTCATTTACATTTCATTAAACATGACCTAAGTTAAGTAATTAACATGCTTGATATGAATTTTTTTCAGAATT